AAGCGATCAAGGATGCGTTACACTGCATGGTGCCCCTGGCCCACCCTTCAGCTGACATGGTCGTCTGTTTGTACACCGATGCCAGCGACGGGTTCTGGGGCGCAGTAGTCACCCAGATTCCGACCGAATACCTCAATGTCTAACAGTCGATCAACGTCATGAACCGCTCGCGTTCCTGAGCGGTGCCATCCGAGGGGCGATCGATCGATGGCCCATCGTCGAAGCTTGCAAGCGTCTCGAGTACCTTCTGCTGCGCTCCGGCGGTTTCCGTCTATTTACGAACCACCGGAACCATGTGTACATGTTCCACCCCGGCGGGGGTGGGACGAATATTGCCAAGTACCAAGCGAGCAGGCTGCAGCGCTGGTTCTTGGTCATGTCGACCTTCCCCTACGTGATCGAGCCGATCGCGGGGGGTGACAATATCTGGGGGACCTCTTGAGTCGGTGGGGCATGGCGAACCGCGGGGCCAGCCTGGCCCGCGTTTACCAGATGGTTAAGCTGGTGTCACCATTGCGGTCCACCAACTCGAGTGGCCCGCCCTAGACGAGATTGTCCGTGTCCAGCGTGATTGTCTCGAAAACGAGGACACGGCCGACGTGGACAAGACTCTGGTCAAGTGATCTGTTGACAAGGGCTGTTTTGTGATGCCGACGGGAGCCACGTCGATCCCCAGCGGCACTGTCGACCTGCAACAGCGGCGGCTGTGTAACCGACCAAAGGAGCTCATCCATTTTAACTGACTCCAGATGCCCGCTGCTACGAACGGATGGCGCTACCTGCTGGTCGTCAAGGACGACATGTGTGGGTACGTGCGCTTGTACCCCGGAGCCGACGCCACCTCTCAGGCCACGGCTTCAGCCCTCTTGGACTGGTTTGGTCTCATTGACGTCGTCGCGACGTGGGTTAGTGACTGCGGGTCGCACTTCAAGAACTGAGTGATCGACGAGCTACGCCGAACGTTGGGCGCACACCACCAACTTGTGACGCCTCAATGTCCCTGGGCCAACGGGTCAGTAGAGGTCGTGAATCGTCTGATTCTCCCATGGTGCGCGCCCTGTCCAGCGAGCTCAAGTTGCGAGAGAACGAATGAGCTGCGAAGGTGTCGATGGTCCAGTCAGCTCTGAACCACCAACCCGCCGATCGTTTGGGTGGTGTCCCACCGATCACGGTGTTCCTGGCTCTGCCAGCCAGCACACAGTTGCGCGCTCTCTTCCACCTGCGTCTAATGGAACAGGCGACGGTGGATTGGCTGGCAAAGAGCCAGCAACAGCAACTGCAAGCGGTTAACTCCGCTCACGATCGGATGCACAAGGACTGTCTGGCGAGTGCGGCGGCGAAGCGTGACAGGAAGCGCAAGCAGCGCGAAAACAATTAAGGCGTGAAGTGGCCAAGCCTGGCCTTGGGAAATTTTGTGTTGGTAGCTCGAGTGTCGCAACACCCGAACAAGTTGACACGCCGGTGGAAGGGGCCGTACCATGTGGTTCGTGTCCTCTAAGACGACTGGACACGCGTCGGCAGCCACCAAATAGTCCGGATTTGAACGTGCTCGACCATGAATTGCGTCGATACAAGTTTGCAGTAAATGATGGTGAGTCGCACTATTGATGGCATTATTGCGTCGACTGTGATGGCGTTTGACACTCACCGGAGAGAAGTTGGCCAAAGTCTTTCATACCCTTCAGGCCGTAATGCTATTGGTACTTGAGCACCATGCTGGTAACCACTCTAAGTTGCCTCATCTGCAAAAGGATTTCATGCGACGTACGGGCACCCTTCCTTGTATTTGTTCTGCCTTGTGTCGCTGCTCTTTGATGCGAATGCCTTCCTTTAGCAGTCAGACCCAGAAATTCAACAGTAACGGTTATGACCAATCAATTATGTTCATTTTTCAATCATCCAATTGCATTAATGTGGTGTACTAATATAAAAAATGTGTTTTTTCATATGGCGGCAGTAATAGCAAACAGAGGATGTACCGTACAAGCTTTATCCAAGCAACAAAGCAACTAATTCTCGTGAGTGTTAGCGATCCGATGAGCGAAGACGACAGCGAATTTGGCGGGGTCAAGGGTGTTGCTTCCGTGGCACGCCGAAATGCCCCGTCAGCAACAACCTCGAGCAATTTCCCATCCTCTTGGACTGGTTTGGTCTCATTGCCTACGGTCCGGTGGTTCTCTGGAGCCTGGACTTATAGGTGGATGAGACCGTGAAGGACAAGATCGAGTTGTTTTTTGGGCGGCCTGTGATGAACGCACTGGGTTATTCAGCCAGCGGGGTGCTCGAGGCAGCCCGAAAACAAAATGCCGTCTGGGACCTGGACGCAGTGGACTCAGG